TTATCTTCCCCATTAAGTAGTCTTGATTTTTTATTGCTTAAATAATATGTTTTCTTTAACTAGCATTGCTTCATTTATTTAAATATTTTCACCCATAACCTCTTTTTAAAAATTTTTCTTTATTGATAAAGTGTTACATATGTGTCCTTATCCCCCTCCCACTCATGCCCTCACCCCCCTCTAGTGTCTGTGTCCATTGGTTATGCTTATATGCATACATACAAGTCCTTTGGTTGATCTCTCCTTGTGTTTGAATGTAGATTTCAGATCAATGTTGTTAGATCTTAGAAATTTTTAACTGATTAACATAATCAGAGAAATAATTTAAGCCACTTAATTATAAAATTACTAGAGACCCAGTGCATGAAATTCATGCATGGGTAGGGTCCTTCGGCCTGACCAGTCATCAGGGCCAATCTTTGGGGTGACTGGCGGGGAGATCGGGGCCCCCACTAGCACCTGCCTTGGAGGCGACTGGTGGTGCAATTGAGGGGGGATGGCACTGGCCCACTTGCCAGCTGGCCCCACCCCCTGTTGCCACTGATCGCCTCCCTCTGCAGGGCGACAGATGGGGCAATAGGGGAGGGGGGTCCCCGCTGGCATGTGCCTTGGCTGGCTTGAGGCTGCAGGCTGGGGGCAGCTCCTGTGTTGAGCGTCTGCCTCCTGGTGGTCAGTGCACAGCACAGTGACCGTTCATTCAGCCATTTGGTTGATTTCCATATTAGGCTTTTATTATATAGGATTAATTAATTATAGGGGATAAATGCTAAAATGTACTGAAATTGGCATAGTCCTTGGTAAAACTTGGGTTAAGACAGTAAGTAATGGGTGTCATTACTGCAGGTCTGTTGAAACAATCTTGAGCTCTAGAACCTGGATGTGATCCTGAAACTAGCCCTAAGCAGTCAGTTTCCAGGATCCATTATGTAGCCAATCTCAGAGTGTGAAGGTAGGTTCACCCAGACCATGAATTCCTGCCTCCATATGGTAACCAGCCACAGCCTATTCAGGTACTTAACATTTAAGACTACTTTCTAGCATTCAAAAAAAGGGGGGAAAATCATTATAACTCTATATGACCAAGAATGCAATTAATTATATTTTTGCACTGATATAAATTTAAGCAAATGTTGAAAATTGCTGCCTTCAAAACAAGAAACATGAAAAATCATTATATTGGAAAATTTAGGTGGGTCACAGCCTGATTATCATTGACAATATATTTTTCAAAGGAAATTACTTAAATTTAATGATTCTCATTTTCTCTACATTTTTGGAAACATTTGGTTTTTGTTTTACTTAAGAATAAGGGAATGGTTCTATTTTTCTTGGGAGCTGATGTCTTTTAAATTATGAATCTTGACTCCAGAAATTTTTAACATTTATCTTTTACCACATCACTTTGTTATTGACTTCCCAATTTTGTTCTAAGTTCTGTTCCAGCAGACCCATGTATGGCCATTTTTCCTCCTCACAATGTGAAAGCCACTTCCATATGGAAGGTTTGCATTCCACTGCCTTTCAGGCCCATTTCTGACTGGGGTGTATACTTCTTTTTTTTTTTAATTGTTTTATTGCTTAAAGTATTACAAAGAGTAGTACATATGTCTCCTTTTTTCCCCGCTCTTGACAATCCCCTGGCCTCCCCTAACCCTCAGTGTCTTATGTCCATTGGTTATGCTTATATGCATGCATACAAGTCCTTCGGTTGATTTCTTACCCTCCCCGCTCCTGCCCCCCAACCCTCTCCACCCTTCCCGCTGTAATTTGACAGTCTGTTCGAGGCTGCTCTGCTTCTGTATCTATTTTTGTTCATAAGTTTGTAATGGTCTTTATTATCTATAAATGAGTGAGATCATGGGATATTTTTCCTTCATTGACTGGCTTATTTCACTTAACATAATGCTCTCCAGTTCCATCCATGCTGTTGCAAATGGTAAGAATTCCTTCTTTTTTACAGCAGCATAGTATTCCATCGTGTAGATGTACCACAGTTTTCTAATCCATGGGGTGTATACTTCTGTTTCTGGTGCACTAAGAAGATCACCCAGGAATAAGGCCCTCATCTTTCCCTCTTTTAGTAACTTGTCATAGAGAGCTTTCCATGAGTCCACAGATGTGGGTTGAGAGAGGAAACAGAGTAGTAGGAACAGGTGCCACCGGAGTCTGTTACCTGCCATGAAGTTCACACATGTCTTCAGGAGCTGGTGGAGCTCTGTCTTACACATCTCACCTCTGATTTAGGAGGGAATGCTGCTGTGCATGTCCCATGGTAAGGTGTGTTGGATTGTCATCATATGGGAAATCTGGTACATATAGTCATCTCGTGTTCAGTCATTTAGTCTGTACGAAGGCCCCGTAACAAGCCAGGAGCTGCTTTTCAGATGTGGAACAGTTGCCAAAAGGGGAGGATATAGGTATACTTCAAAAAACCCCTTGGAATATTACTCATTTTCTTTCTTGGGTTTATTAGAAACTTTATATGGCATCTGTACACCACAGACAACTCCTAAACCATTTGAACTACTGAGTCATTATGACCAATAATTTCACAAACCTAATGAAGTCTGATGAAATAAAATGCCCTGCTCTAGACCACACTTAAAACTGGCAAATTTGGTGCCTGCAGGTAGCTCACCCAAATATGGGATATTTTTGCCTCTAAAATCTATATACATCCACAAAAGCAGTGTGCTTATTCTTTTGAAGTTAGTCTTATTTGTACCTATTTTGTTGAGAAATTTGGAACGTAGATGCCAAAATTCTAGCAAATTGGATCCAGCATTACATTAGAAAGATCATACACCATGACCAAGTGGGATTTATTCCAGGGATGGAAGGATGGTACAATATCTGCAAATCAATAAATGTGACACACCACATAAACAAATTGAAAGATAAAAACCATATAATCATATAAATTGATGCAGAAAAAGCATTTGACAAAATCTAACACCCTTTCTTGATAAAAAAAAAAAACTCTCAGCAAGGTGGGACTAGAAGGATCATACCTCAATAAAAGCCATATATAACAAACCTACAGCCAGCACCATACTCAATGGGCAAAAACTAAAACTGCATCCCTTAAGAAGGGGAACAAGACAGGGATGCAAACTCTCACCACTCTTGTTCAACATAGTATTGGAAGTACTAGCCATGGTGATCAGACAAGAAGAAGAAATAAAAGGCATCCTCATTGGAAAAGAAGAGTAAAATTATCATTATTTGCAGACGTCATGATATTGCACATAGAAAACCCTAAGGACTCCATCAAAAGGCTACTAGAATTAATAAATGAATTCAGCAATGTAGCAGGATACTAAATTACCACCCAGAAATCTATGGCTTTTTTTATACACCAATAATGAAATCACAGAAAGAGAAACTAAAAAATAATCCCATTTACCATTGCAACAAAAAATTAATATACCTTGGAATAAATTTAACCAAGGCGGTAAAGGACCTGTACTACTCAGAAAATAGGATGCTGAAAAAAGAGATAGAGGTAGATATAAACAAATGGAAGAACATACCATGTTCATGGATTGTTAGAATCAACATCATTAAAATATCCATACTACCTAAAGCAATCTACAAATTCAATGCAATCTCCATTAAAATACCAATGACATACTTCAAAGACCTGGAACAAACTCTCCAAAAGTTCATCTGGAAAAAAAAAGACATCAAATAGCTGCAGCAACCTTGAGAAAAAGAACAAAGTTGGAGGGATCACAATACCAGATATCAAGCTATACTATAAAGCCCTGTTCTCAAAACTGCCTGGTACTGGCACAAGAACAGACATATAGACTAGTGGAACAGAATAGAGAACCCAGAAATCAACCCAAGCCATTATGCTCAATTAATATTTGACAAAGGAGGCAAGAATATACAATGGAGTCAAGACAGTCTCTTCAATAAATGGTGTTGGGAAAATTGGTCAGGTACTTGCCAAAAAATGAAACTAGATCACCAATTTACACCATACACAAAAACAAACTGAAAATTGTTAAAGGACTTAAATGTAAGATGGGAAACCATAAAAATCTTAAAAGACTCCATAGGCAGCAAAATATATGATATATGTTCTAGCAATATCTTTACTGACACAGCTCTTAGGGCAATGGAAACTAAGGAGAAAATAAACAAATGGGACTACATCAAAATAAAAAGTTTCTGCACAGCAAAAGAAACCATCAACAAAGCAATAAGAAAGCCCACTGTATGGGACAACATATTTTCCAATGTTATCTCTGATAAGGATTTAATCTCCAACATTTACAGGGAACTCATACAACTTACAAAAGGAAGATAAACAATCTAATCAAAGAACAGGCAAAGGACCTAAATAGAAATTTTTTGAAGAGGACATAGAGAAGGCCAAGAGACATATGAAAACATGCTCAAAGTCACTGATCATCTGAGAGATGCAAATCAAAGCAACAATGTGGTATCATCTCACACCTGTCAGAATGGCTATCATCAACAAATCAACAAACCACAAGTGCTGGAAAGGATGCGGAGAAAAACGAACCCTTGTGCATTGCTGAGGGGAATGCAGACTGGTGTATCAACTTGTGGAAAAGAGAATGGTGTATGATGTTTCCTCAAAAACTAAAAATAGAACTACCATTTGACCCAGTGATCCCGCTTCTAGGAATATATCCCAAGAAAACAGAAACACCAATCAGAAAGGATATATGCACCCCTATGTTCATAGCAGCACAAATTACAATAGCTAAGATATGCAAACAGCCTAAGTGCCCATCAGCAGATGAGTGGATTAGAAAACTGTGGTACATCTACGCAATGGAATACTACACTGCTGTAAAAAAGAAGGAATTCTTATCATTTTCAACAGCATGGATGTACCTGGAGACCATTATGCCAAGTGAAATAAGCCAGTTAGAGAAAGATAAATATCACATGATTTCACTCATTTGTGGAATATATAGAATATCATAAACTGATGAACAAAAATAGATACAGAGGCAAAGAAGCATTGAACAGACTGTCAAATATCAGTGGGAAGGCAGGGGAGGATTGGGGGGTAAGAGATCAACCAAAGGACTTGTATGCATGCATATAAGCATAACCAATCGACACAGACACTAGGGGGGGTGAAGACATGTACTGGGGGATGGGGGAGGTGGGGGGAAGTAAATGGGGGGAAAAAGGAGACATGTACCACTATTTGTAATACTTTAAATAATAAAATAATAATAATCCTATATAATAAAAGCCTAATATGCTAAGTGTCCAGTTGTCCAGTTGGCTGTTCAACCAATCAAAGCATAATATGCTAATGATATGCTAAGGACACTCAATGCTCTCTATGATGTGCACTGACTACCAGGAGTCAGACAATTGACTGGTCAACCAGTCGCTTTGATGTACATTGACCAACAGGGGGCAGACAGTCGATCAATCAGTTGCTTTGACAGGCATTGACCACCAGTGGGCAGATGCTCTGACCAGTAGGTTAGCTTGCTTCTGGGGTCCTGCTGATCAGGACTGAGATGGGCTAGACATGCCCTGGAGTCCTCGTGTGTTCCCTCCCCACTGGCCAACCTCCCGCATCCCTCCCTAGCCCTGATTGTGCACTAGTGGGGTCCCTAATCCTGGCCTGTGCCCTCTCTCAATGTGGGACCCCTGGGGGGATGTCGGAGATCGGCGGTCGCTATGATGCGCACTGACCACCAGGGGGCTGACGCTCAACACAGGAGCTGCCCTCTGATGGTCAGTGCTGGGAGTACTGCTCAGCCAGAAGCCAGGCTCATGCCTGGCAAGTGCAGTGGTGGTGGCAGGAGCCTCTCCTGCTTCTGAGACAGCGCTAAGGATGTCCTACTGATGGGAACGGGCCTAAACCGGCAGTTGGACATCCCGCGAGGGCTCCCGGACTGCGAGAGGGCGCAGGCCGGGCTGAGGGATGCCCCCCCCACCCCCACCCCCCTTGCAGGAATTTCGTGCAACAGGTCTCTAGTAATAATAATAAGAAAGAATATTTCTGACGTGACCCAAGCTATTTGACTCCTGGAAACTGCATCAACAGGGCTAACTCATGAACATTTGTAGTTTATCTCCTACTTTATGGCACAGACTTGTCTTACTAAGTTGTCCTGGGTGCTGGCTAATTAGAAAATGAGCAGTCTCTGTACGCTATGAAAGAAAGCTAGAATTGATATAGCCCTGTGACGAGGCAGCAAAGTTACACTTGTCTCTGACATGTAAATGCAAAGATACCTGATGTGGAGCTGTAGCTGGGGTGGGCATCTGCACTGAAGTTTTTGATAGTCTGTCATTCTCTGTGACCCATCAAGTGTTTGCACTGTCTAAAGAGGCCAGTTAATCGATGCTGTGCTGGGAGTCACAATGATTGTATAATTCAAGTCCTTGATGGTGGCACTAATTGTTGTAATTCTTCCAGGGATGGTATTTTGGTTTACTATTTTCAGGGAGGGAAGTGATACAGAGGATTTTTCTGTATCTCTTCCTCCCAGAACAGCTTTTTAAAAAATATATATTTTTATTATTTTTTTATAGAGAGGAAGGGAGAGGTATAGAGAGTTATAACATCAATGAGAGAGAAACATTGATCAGCTGCCTCTTGCACACCCCCTATTGGGGATGTACCCGTAACCAAGGTACATGCCCTTGACTGGAATCGAACCCAGGACCCTTCAGTCCGCAGGCCGACGCTCTATCCACTGAGCCAAACTAGTCAGGACTCTCAGAACAGCTTTTATTCCATATATTAGGTAACCAATATAAGAATTATGCCTGTTAATTAAGTATACAGTTAACCCTTGAACAACATGGGTTTGAACTGGGTGGTTCTACTTAAACGAGGATTTTTTCAGTAAGTATACAGCCAGCCCTCCACATCCCTGGGTTTTGTATCCTTGGATTCAGCCAACCACAGATTGAAAGCAATATATACATGTATATACACATGTCATCTCGTTGTCCCAGATTTACACATACATCCAAACAGAGGAATGTAAGCTTACATTTTAAGCATAGGCAGTACTTGTTTAGGAATTATTCAATTTTTCAAATGCTTTGAATGCTAAGGTTTCCAGAGGGCAGGAATTATGGCTGGCATGATTATTTTGCAGTGCCTAGCACAAGCTTCAGACAGTACGTTCAAGAAATACTTTTGGTGGTGTTGCTGAGTAAATCAGAAAAGCAAAGTACTCTTACTCTTAACTTTCA